GCCACACCATCTTGGCCTTCACACCTTCGATTAATCCTTGATTGTTGTAAAAATCTGAAGATGATCCATTCAATGTCGCCGTTTGATTATACGATTTATCATAATTAAAGTGGTAAAGACCAATTGTATTTACAGTTTACCGGAACAGTGAGGCAACAATGAGTTGAGTCAAATTTATATACATAATCGAATGTATGAAGACCAAGATAGTGTGGCCCCCAGTATGGTCGCGGTCTCCTTTCGATGTATAGAATTGGGTTGAAGTCTCCTGCCATAATAGTTGTCATAATTCCCACCATCAGACCGTGGACTTGGACATTCTCAGTCATCGTGCGTTCTACCAAGTCACCTTGACAACAAGACCAATTTGCGAAAACGAGGTTAACCCACTTCTATAAATCGAAAATACCGCGGCCACACCATCTTGCTTTTCATATCTTCGATTATGTATATATATTTGACTCAACCCATTAAATAAATAAATCATTCTCTGAAAAATATAAATACCACTGATTTTTACGACTTCAATGGTGATAAATCGCCTGATCAAACTGCGTCATTACAGGGATCCTCTTCAGATTGTAACAACAATCGAGGATTAATGTTAAAGAACACAAAACAAAACAGATATTGACAGAGAAGTGTACAATCTGAAAACAAAACTTGCTCAAAAATGGCAGCTGGGAAGTATGATGACCCACTTCTATAAATCGAAAGGGGACTGCGACCATACCGGGAGCCACACCATCATGGCCTTCACACCTTCTTGGCCATAAATTCACTCTGAACAGCAATTTCCTACAGTTTGCGTCTTTTGAAATGGTGCAATATTACGTGTGTCATGTTGGCCAAAACGCAAAATGCACAACCTCAGGTACCGAACGATCGCATTTGCCGACACTTACGCCTACGCTACCAAGAGAATTGTCACCTCAACCGGGCGAGTGGGAGAAGTCTATGGGCCGACATGAACCAATGGGTGAGCATGAGCTGGAGGCAAATGGGCAACGAAACAGACGCATGAATGAGCTGACTTGTGGCCCTCCGGTGGCGAGGGAGAAGGCCAGTTGTGTGTTGACGCACAGCCGAGAGAAAAGTAAAACGACCAGCTACGGCGCTTACATGTAACTTCATACAGGGCAAATAAAGTGAAAGGCTTGTGCACCCAGGCGCGTACCTATGCAGTCTCAATTTAACTTTCACATGAAACGTGTCCCATAACTTATGTAGTGGCAGGCTTTGATTTTTCATCGTCCATCTGAATGTTCATAATAGCGCTCAAGCCAAATGTATGTAAACAAAGACATACATACATACATACATACGTACATACATACATACATACATACATACATACATACATACATACATAC